TTTTGTTGTGTGGGGTTGTGAGCAAACTGGGAACTGGGATGGAATAAACACCTACATTTTATGGTCTGTAGAAAGCACCATACTAGTACCCCGAGGTCAGCCACGTGATATGTTATCAGCTCCACGGTAGATCTGTGCAGGAGTTAGCAGGGCCTGCACAAGACTCCCTTCAGTATAAGCCACTGATGTACTAAGGGTGAAGTGGGTGGGAAGGGACTTTTAAAAGACTTACGGGGAAGGGAGTCCTTGGGAAAACATTTGCCCCCAGGAGCAGCAGGAAAGACAAGGACAGATGACATTTGCTTCCTAAGGTGGTAGAACATGACTGCTTCCGAGTGTTCTGGTTCATAATCTGCATCTCGAGTTGGAACTCAGTAGCACAGTTGCCAAGATTCTGGGTCCCCAAGACGTCAGCAGGGGAGGACACACTACATGCTGCCTTAGCAAATACTGCAGTGAGCACCTGCAGTCATGGCCCCTGCTTCTCCCACATTATACAAACAAGCTCTTGAGAGGCACAGGGTATATCTACCTCTGACCCTGCCCTTCTCCTACAGTCTGTCATTTTCCTTGGAGGAAGCATTAATTATGCACAGCCAATTCCATTTTGCCATGTCAATTCTGTTAATATTCCCATTCCTATTTTTCTTCTTTCCTCTATCAATGTTTGCTAGGTGTCAGTGTTTCTCCAAGATCTTTTCTCATTCTCTTCTCTAGTCATTTCGATTTCAAAGGGTCCCACTTCCCGGAGCAAACTTCCATGGTACTGAATGTGACAGGAAGGCTTGAGCCTTCTGATACAGTTTAGTCATGTTTTATGTGCATAGTTTTGCTTGATTTCATTTTTTTCCATTATTTCTACCAAGGCTAATTCCTGCCTATGAATTTGTGTGGGTTTAATATCCTGGGATGTGAATCCTGGGTCAGTGTTTTGATCCATGTTAAGTCATATTATGTTCAGGCTCAGTTGTTATCAGGCTGATTACTGCTACCAGTAACATGTGCTATGAATTAAAGACTAGTTTTTACCCATTTCTTAGCATATAGAGTGTGGAGCCCAATGGCGAACATTCTGGATCCTGGGATTATGTCCCATTGCCTTTTGAAGTACCATAAAAACAAAAATTAAATCCCTCCATATGGTGATTTAGTCAAAGGTGATGCTGTATCTCTATCCTGAAAGAAAGCTGCCAAGTAGTCTTTCAGACAAATCTATGGAGAAGGGGGTGCTTGGCCTCAGTACTCAAACCCTTGAGGGATGGCCTGAGGGGAGGCAAAGTTATCCCCTGGAGTAGATACAGCCTGCTCACCCAGATACTGGGCCTCATCACCCCATGTCTGTAAGGAAGAAAACCAGCAGCAAGAAAGGCTCTAACCACACTGAGGTGACGGTGATGGGCAGGCAGAATGAGGATGTTTGCTCCTGACCAAGGAGGCTGGACACCTCAGGCAAGAGTGGGCAGACAGGTTAACATGGGATAAAGCAGGGCCTGTGGAAAATACACTCTGGGCTCCCAGGGCAGCTGAAATGAGGTTTGTCATTTCAGTGGAAGGGAAGGAGAGGAGAAAAAATAATACAAGGCACATTTTCCCCTCATGTAAACTGCCTGGGGAAAATGGAATAGAGCTCCAAGTCCCAGAAGTCCTTGCACATTGGGTGGATTCTCAGTCACGACTCCTGCTGTCGTAACCTGAACTCTTGAACACCATCTCTGTGGCAGATGGTATAGCCCTACCTAGACCTGACAGGCTCATGCAAAGTCCCTCTGCATCAAGAAAGCATTAGACTGACAGATTAAAGTTATCTAGTAGTACATGTTTCCATTAAGAGTCCTAGACAGGAACGCTCGCATGCCTTTGCTGACATCAAGGCTTTCAAGTTCCTTTTCTTTTGTTTCTTTTTTTTTTGTATAAGTGAAAGGTAAGCAGGAGACAGGAAAAAGCCTCAGATCCAAGGAATGCTTACTCCTTCCTTGTTTGAAACATCTTCAGTGCTCTTATCTCTTACCTACACACACACACACACACACACACACACACACACAGAGTATTTCAATCAACCAAGAACGTATAAACATGAGAGACCAAATCCAGTGTCAGTATTTCCTTGCTCCATTGGGCTCTGTTCTCCTTTCAAACATAAATTTCTTACTCTTAGTGATACAAGTTTTATTTATTTTCTGGTTACTCTTTTTGTCCTAACTAAAAATGAGACTAGTAATAGTCTGTGCTTTTGACATCCTAAACAATGATTTACTCAACTCTGCTACAACAATACTTTGTCCTTTGCTGTACTTCCTAGTGAGCTTAGACTCTGCTACATTTTCCTTTGAAAGCATTTATTTCACTGGACTGGAGAATTCTCCATCTGAGGCAGAATTTAAAGATGCTCGTTTTAGGTAAAGTCCTTCATTTACAGAGCAAGAGAATGAGGTTCCAATAGGTCTCCCTAAGGTGACGGTAACTGGACATCGATTTTCTTAGGACTGGAATGGAAGTTTTGCTTTTATAGCTTATTTTCCCAAGGTATTATTTACTTGTTCAATCTTGTTCACAGGAACTCGAGGTCTCCTGTGAACTTCAGCAACATGACTTGGGCTCATCCGTTGCTACTTTTTCACAGAGAGAGAAATGTGAGCTACAGAGCAGGCAAGTAAGTACTGCTTCTTCTCCCCCGACTGTCGGCTAAGCCCGGTGTTATGGATGTGAGATGGGCTGGGTTCCTAAGTGCATGCAGAGACGGGATGTAAATCAACTGCAATTCATGCAGTGCCTTCAGTGTGGCTCACTGATGGAGATGCCCTGAAACTGTCATTCAAAAATGGACAGTGGTCAAATGGGAAGGCTTCAATTTTTTTCAGTTTTTGATTACTGAACTCACAAATCTTTCTGACAGGAGAGAGAAAAGAAAGTAAAAAAATGTCACCCCAGCCCCCCCACAGCTCCAGGTATCTCTGGGTTTTTCTGGTTCAACTTTTGAAATTGGAAGCATGGCCACTAGAGGGCAGCATGCATTTAGGAAAAAGCATCTTTCTTTAAATAAATAAGGGCAAGAATTCAGGCAAAGCCATTAAAGCCGCACTGTGCTTGTGGTCACCAATTACACGTTCTGTAATGATCAATATGTCATGTTTACCCAATCTGGGCTGAAGGCTATCTGGGACTGCGGCTACCAGAGGCCTTGCCATACACACTTTTAGATTCCTTCTGCCTCAGTTTTGGGGACTGATTTTCTTTACCAGCTCTAATTAATCTTCCTAACTCAAAGGTTGAGGAATTTTTTTTTTTTTTTTTTTGCCAATCACCTGCATAAATGTAAAGCGTGCAAGCACAGACTCTCGTCTTCTTAGGAAAAAAGATCACTTGTACCAAGGACATCCCTAAAGAAAAGTGGCATTCGGTTGACATTACTTAAGAGCATCATTTTTTTTTTCTCACTTTTCTGACTAAAACAGAAAATAAACTCAATACACTGAAGTTATAATGTGCCTACACACATTCTTGTCTACGGCCCAAACCCTGTCTTCCCCCTCAAAGTATCTGGTCCAGAGTCATCAGGACAGAGGCAGAAAACATGAAAATAATGCCAGCCTCTTTTGATCCTCTCTTTTTTTTTTTTCTGGTATACCCAGAACTCCAAATGACCACCCCAGGCCTCACTGCACCTTCCAGAGATTTCAACCCTTTTTTTTTTTTTTTAATTCCAGGATATGACATTCGAAATTTGGGTTGTATGAATGAAAATAACTGGTTTCAACCCAGAAAGAAGACAAACAAAAACCAGAGTTACTGGGCTTCTGGGTCAGGGAACACAGTGCTGGGTGCAGCTGCAGCTCCAAGGAAGCATGTCGGGGGTTCATGCCCCGCCTCTCTTACATTTCCCCAATCTAAAGATCATGTGATTGACTAGCCACTAGGGAAAGCTGGGCCCCAGTTAGTTTCCAGTTGACCTTCAGTTAAGGATTTAACTAAGTTTTCTGTCACCTGAAATACATCTAAAATCAAAGCCCTGTTTATTGTCTTACTAGAGTCAATTGAGTATTTACAGTGTGTATCCAGGTGGAGAGACAGTAAACTGAACAGTATTCAAGGTCTTAGGATCTTTGGTTTGTCTGATTCCCCAAAAAGTGAGGACAGCAGTTTCTTTCCCAGCATCATGAAGCCTAGAAGTCGGAGGTCAGCCTCAGAAGTTGTTCCTCAAGTGCTGTCCCCCCTTTTTAGAGACAGTCTTCCACTGACCTGTAGTTTGTTCATTGTGCTAGGTTTGGTGGCCAGGGATCTTGAGTGCTGCCTGGCTTTGTTATGTTGAGCAGAGGGAACTCGAACTCAGATTCTCCGGGTTCCATGGCAAGCACTTTTCCACTGAGCTGTCTCTCTAGCCATACATTTACTTATTATTTATTTACTTATTACTTTGTTGCTGCTGTGGAGTCAGTGGTATGATCTCAGGTTGCTTCTTGAGCCCAGGTTTTCCCATCCATTTGATAATTGTAGATCAAGAAGTTGCATGTGCTGGCCCCCTAGGACACTGATTCTTGACCATTCCCTGCAGCAAAATCACTCAAACTTCTTAAAGCACACACTCATGAGTCCCATTCCCCAAATCCACATTTTTGTTAGAAAATTCCCAAATAATACTGGGAAACCATTCTTAAGAAACACTGTTCTAGAACAACCTAAGAGCAGCCTCCCCACCCCCAACTTTCTTCTTTGGTAAATAACCTTACTTTCATTCTTATTAAAAAAAAAAAAAATCAAGGCTATTCAATTCAGAGATCAAAAGACGTTGGTTAACTGAAGGCTCTACTTTGTTGAGTTTTGGTACACAGAGGTTTTGTTTGCTTTCCAAGAGCAATCAGAAAACAAATAGCACCCATAGTAAGTAAATAATGACCACTAAAAGCTGGGTAGAGCTCTTGCCTAGAATGTACAAGACCTAGAGTTCAATTCTCAGCACTGCAAGAAGAGAAAAAAATGTTGCTCAATTCATTTGAACTTACGCTTTTAGTGATGTGCTGATTACCTTAACAGGAGAAAAGAGTTTTGGGGCAGTAAGGAGACCGGAAGTGAACCTGAAAAACATGATTTATGAAGTATAAGGGGGAAACTCAGAGAAACAATTTTCCAGAGAATCTCTGGCTTGCCTCTGAACAGGCTGTTCCCTGAACACATCTGAGCAGCGGGGCCCTCCTGCAGAGCTTGCATGTGAATGTTGGCTTAGCTCTCTAGCAGAAATTCACTTTTGGGTTTCAGATCTGTTCTTATTAGAGCACTCCCATCAAAAGAGTGGGGGATCTCTACAGTTCTGTCTGGTTCCTCAGACTGAAATTTCTCAAGAGAGTCGTTGGAAATAAAGACAAGTTGCTTTTTAAAAAAATTCTTCAAGCTGCGAAAAAGAACCTCTCAAGTAAAATTAAGCAGACACAGTAACAACTGGGTTTGTCATAATTCAAACCCTACAAAGACCACGGAAAGGGCTGCCTCCTTAGGCATACTGGCCTCCATCTGCCCTGCATTAGAATCCAAACAAACTGTTCCTGCACTGATACTACCATAATCTTTCCTAATTCCAGGACAGTCTAAATTGGTTTCTCCGAAAGAAAAACAAAGAGAATCTGTTGATATATGATCTAACTAAAAGAAGTTTACATGACAAAAAAAAATGTCCCAAAGTCTATTGTTGTAGGAAGTATAATACAACACTTGGGCACTAACAATTTCTACTGAAAATGTTTTAGACTATCTCTCCTCCAACCTGACTGAGACGTATGTGCTTGCATCTGTGTGTACTGTAGACACTTATGACAAACTACAGTTAAGAATTAGTTGCCAAAAGACTCTCATAGGAGCAGTGTGACCTTTCTGTACCTTTTTGCCCAAGATGAAGATCAGGTTATAAGGACCTTCATTAGGGTTAGTGTCATTAAAATTTAATGAAGGTACCAGAGCCTCCTTAGCGATATTAAGAGGAACAGTCTTTTGCTTGTCAATAGAACAGGCAGACAGACATTAGTGGCAGTGGGTGGTAGCAGGTATTATCTGTCCCCAGAATGTTCTCCTTTGATGACTTAGGACATTACCCATTTTATTTGGCTGGCTTGCATTTGTCAGAATTTATCCTGAGGTGAGTTAACATACCTCCATACTGAGAAAAAAAAAATTGCCCATGGTCCAATGTGAGCCTCACACCTAATAGAATACATCTGGCTCTGACAGTTTGATGCCCAGCTCTGAGTCACATTCAGCAACACAAATTAACAGCGTAGACATTGCCCACACTGAGCAGGAAGTAATAACCTGCTACCTGCTACTTGGCCAAAATCTCATTATAAGCCATTATGGTAATTGAGGGCCAAGACTGTGGGTATTACAGTCCCTAAGCACCAGTGGTTAGTTCGGGAGAAGAAAGACTCATAATGGAGGGGGCGGGACAGCCAGAAGAAACTAGGCTGTCAACATGATGCTCAGTGGTGCCCAGGGGATCTCATGAACTATTTCTCTTCTGTCCTGAAACCCATGTGACCCCAGGATGATGATGTAACTTTCGGTAGACCTCCAATAATGCCATACAATTAAAAAACTGGTTTAAATGATTGATGGGGACAGCCACGAAGAGAAGATAAGGGCGACATATGACAGAGATGTCTGTGAGGAAGAAGCAGGAAGCTGGGAGGTGTGGGGGAAACCACCCCCTTTCCTCAAGGTACCGGCTCTCTAGAATTACCGTATGCATACGAGTGACCATTCTTCCGCAGTTGGCAATGTAACTCTTCCTCAAAGCCAGCAGTCTAAGCTTCTCGCCAAGGTTGGATAGTAACAAATCAACTGCATAGAAGACAGAAATCTCATGAACCTGACTTTTGGTATGATGAAGACGGCTCCAGATATCAAGTAATGATGGCAGTTTTCTGTAAGCTTTTCCTTGGAAAGAATCCTTCACGGCAGGGCGAGAAGTTAATTGCAGCTTTATTAATCTACCTCTAGATTCTGCCTCCTCACTGTCCCCCTTTTATGGTTTAGATTGTAAATGTCTCCCATGAGTCCATGTGCTAGAGGCTCATTCCCAGCTGTGGTGGAGCCCACACAGGTATGGTACTAGGAACCCAGGTATGATGGTCGACTGTCAACTGATTGATCAAGAAGCAGTGAGCAGATAGGAAAGCACACTTCTGGACAAGTAAGGGTTGTTCCAGAGAACACTATGAGAGTGAGACCTGCCTTGGATAGTCCCAAAGGCTGGGAGACAAAGGCTGGTAGCATGGGCACCCTTCTCTCCTTTCTGGCCACACATCGTGAGCTCTGCTACTCCACCACACCTTCCCTTCCACGATGGACCAAAACCACAAGCCAAAATAAACCTTCTTTCCATTCAGTTATCTTGCTCAGGTATTTTGCCACCACAATGAAGAAAATGACTACTACACTAGGGTCACTGGGGACATGGCCTTGGGGAGTGGGCATGATGGGACCCTGGCTCCTACAATTTCCTTCTTTTGTAGCCAGTCTATGAGAAGAATAGTTGGAGTCTATGTCACATGCTCCTACTATGATATATACTACCTCACCACAATCCAAATGCAGCAGGGCCAGCTAGCTGTAGAAAATCACGAGCCAAAATAAACCTTTCTTCCTTATAAGTTGATTTATAAGGCATCTTGTGATGGTAACAGAAAGCTTCACTAACATGCTCTTCTACACAAATATCCACAGATCAATGGCACATCAGTTCTCCAATCATGAGAGTAAGGTTGTACAAGGTTTAACTACTGAAAGCTTCTGATATTTGTCACAGACACCAGTGGACTCAGAGAATAAGCCTTCCTAGGCAGCCCCGAGTTCCTGTCTCATAGGCCCCAGGTCTCATCAAAGGGTTGCTTGGTATCAGCACTTGAACTAATTTATATTTTGGGAGAAGTAATGGACTGTGGTGGATGAAATTGTTCTCCCCCAGGGGATGAAGATGCCTTCTGAGCATCATGCACCTCCCTCTGCACACCCTGAACCCATCTCTCCATGTCAACCCTGCCACCTCATTCCTTCTGTTCATCTAGAGGGTTAAGCACAGTCTGGGGCCCAGAAAATGGCTGCGGTTGGTACAAGTGAGGCCTTCCCTATAACTAGATCCTGCAGGAAAAAACAAATTAATCAACAGTGAGCTGAAGTGGGTTTAATGATTGCATTCTGCATACAATCAGCTTTTCCCTTTTCAAGGGCCATCAATATGTCAAGGGAAGACATATCTGAAGGATATAGCTCTTAACATCAAGGTTATCTATTCTCCACAAGGCTCCCACTCCTTGCCCGACTGAGACTCCACGCTGCCTGTGTCTAACATTTTCATCAACTCTGCAATCAATCAAGGTAATAATGTTGTGCAAAAAATCAATTAACAACGCAATTAAACTTTCCTTATTATCTCAAAGGGCTGAAATAATACCTAAAGGGAAGATAGACTCACTGAACGCAGACATCCATAATCCAATGTGAAAGTGAATTATGAGGTTGGACAGATGCAGGCATGTGCTGGTGCTGTTATTTTCCAGGGGTTATATCTCATCACCGCAGTGTCTCAGTCAGCCCCAATCCCAGACCCTAAAATTCCAAATTACTTTTAAGAAATATATGATGTGCAATATCCATTTCATATTCTCTTTTAAAGATAACCCCCTCACCTCCTCCCCTCCCCAAATTGAACGGCTATATTACTCAAAGACAAAATGATCTTTCAACAAGAACATAAAATATAAAAGCTATAATAACATTTACATCTGTATGGCATGCATCTCTGTAAATGCAGGTCATCTATTATACATAATCTGAATTGCCTAAAAGGCCCAAGATGAGGCAGAACATTTAAAATCCAGATTGTAAATGTGCAAACTCCCCCAAGATGGCTGTGGTACCCCCTGCACACCCTTGTGGAAGCCCTGTCATTCAAGCCTGCTCATGTTTCTCTCTCTCTCTCTCTCTCTCTCTCTCTCTCTCTCTCGGAGGTATTACTCATTTAAAACACGAATGACTATATTACTTAGCAATTACACTCAACTTGCCCTGAAACACTATCCTTAGGAATTGAGCGTTTAAAGCACATAAAAAGAGAGATGACTATTAACCTTCCAGGACAGTGAGGCCTGGGAAGTGCTTGAAATTTACGGAGGTATTACTCATTTAAAACACGAATGACTATATTACTTAGCAATTACACTCAACTTGCCCTGAAACACTATCCTTAGGAATTGAGCGTTTAAAGCACATAAAAAGAGAGATGACTATTAACCTTCCAGGACAGTGAGGCCTGGGAAGTGCTTGAAATTTTACAATGAAGAGATGTATAAGGGAGGAGGGGAAGGGGGCGCCTCGATGTTTACAGAGCTGCTTCCCCCATGCTGTGGCACCCAGGTGCCCTGATCTCACAGCAACTCAGGAAGGTCTTGAGATAGAAGAAATACAACGAGCATAAGAGGAAACGGAAGTGGATGGACAGGAAGTACTGATCTGAGATGAACATTTAGTTGAATGTCCTTCCTAAGTCCTGGAGACAATGAAACTGCAACACTGGTTTGCACAATGTCAACGAACACAAAATGCAAGTGTTCACACCGAAGTCCTCCCCGCCCGCCCATCCTTCACCTTGTCCTTCTACACCGTGGACCAGAGGCGGGTCCACAGACAGGCTGCAGGAGAGCGGAATCTGAAGGTCTCACTAGGTTTCGAAAGCCTTCGAGATCCCTGGAAATTCACAGTAGCCAAGTGAGCTGATCTCGCAACCTATAATCCTGAACTTGGACTTCCTTTTCACTCAAATGTTATAACCTGGCAGGGCAGATTTCACTGAATGTTACCTGGAGCTGTGCATTTCTGCATAGCAAATTTGTGTGTGTGTTTTTTTTTTCTCTCCTGGCCTGGGACTGCCTATGTAAACCAGGCTGGCCTCAATCTCACAGAGATCTGCCTACCTCTGCTTCTTGAGCACTGGGATTAAAGGCAAGTTTGTGCCACCGATTTAGCAAATTCTTTTATTTTAAGTTACTCACTTGTAACAGGGATCCATCTTTGCAAGTCAACTTCCCTC